GAGGTTTGAAAAATTCAAGATAAGGTTAACATCGGTTAGGGGTCGGTCTTGTATCCTTTATGGCTTTTAATACGATTTTGTTTGGGTCCTTGAAATCCCTCCTATTTTACCAACACTGAAAGATGAAAAGAGAATGAGTTACACATGCTTAGTAAAAATAATTTAATAACTAAACCAATGAAAATCAGAGTTAATACATGTAAACCCTTAAGTTTTCCACCCCAATTTGATATATTTTACGAATTTAGATTCCACACGCTCTCCAACATTTTTATAATCATCCAACTCCCTCTCTTCCTCTAACCTCTGAATCATATTAGACTCTATTAACCCTCACTGTTCACTATTACTAGTTTGAAGTTGTAACTGCTGGTATTTCATCTTATTAACTCTTATAATTCCCTTAAATCACATTAGCACCTTGTACTAGGTACAATATACGATAGTTAAGTTACATAATCTAATTAATAACACCATGTATAATTACTTACACATACACAAGTCTTTCATAGTATAGTACTTGTGCAATCACTATCTAGTGAGAGTAAATAGAGTTCACCACTATCCACGTAACAATAATCACAAGCACAGTGTAGTAATACAACACAATCACCATACCTAGTTTACCAATCAACCAAAAACGGGGACACACACACACACACCTCATTATAGAAAGGAGTTGTTCTGAAAGTACATGAATTATGCTAAACTTTAATGTGGTCGTACATAACCGTTACGTGTTCAGGTGTATTAACGAAGTGATAAGTGTGTATCCATACATAATCGTTCCGTATTTGGATGTATGAAAAAATACTTTAATTTGGGTACCCTAATTATTCTGTGTTCGGGGAGTAGCAGTGTTTAAAGGTATTCATGTATATTATTCCGTGTTCGGGTATATGGGGAATCAATGATAAGTATATGTGCCTACACATAATGTAACACTCCAAAATAAATTGTGTATAATTTAAAATTTATAAATATAATTTTTTTTTTATTTTCATTTAATTTAGAATAAAAATAAAGTAAAATTGATTAAGAATTAAATTAAAAATAATTTTGGAAAAAATAGGTAAAAATTTGGGTTCTTAAGGTATTTTTGAAAGAAAAATCGAAAAATAGATGCTGAAATACAATTTAGGAAAGTTTAGCCACGTAAGACGCCTGGTCAGCAGGCTCGGTGAATCAGGACGCGCTGCGTGGCAGCAGACAGTGACGCAGTGCCACACGGGAGGCCACGCTGGCGATCCACGTGCCCGCGATCGAACGACCTAAATCTGTTCTCGTGTGCACGGACGATCCAAATGCATTCCCTCCCAAACGCGATCGAACGGCCAGATTCAAATGGGATCAGATGGTCCAGATTAGATTACGATGGACGGTCCAGATTGGATCGCGATGAACGACCTAGATTCACTCTCTATTTAATTGCGATCGAACAATCTAAATCAAACGCGATGGACGGCCCAGATCAAGAGTGAACGAATATAAATAACTCTCATTCGCACCAAACCCTAACCCTAGCTGCCAGAACCTCTCGCTGGAGAAGAAGACCTAGCCGCCAGGAAGGAGACCGCCGCCAACCGTCGCCGCACCGGAACTCTTTTCGACCGCCAAAAAAGGTAAAAACTTTTCATTTTGCTCGAAATTCAATTTTAAATACATCCATTGCCAAATTGGAGCAAAAGGACCAGCCAATTGGCCGAAAAATACGGGCGAAGCCAGCGGCGCCGCTGTAGGGAATTTCACAAAACGCCTCCGATGAGGCTTTTTCTGATTATCATTCTATATAATTTTTCCACCGTTGTGATTACTGTGTCCTTCTCTATAGGTTGATCAGAGCAAAACACCCAACCGCAACGTGAGCTGGAGGAGCCACCGCACCGGAGAGCTCCGCCGCCCGTGAGTTTCAGTTTTTTGTATTTTTTTGGGCCAACCGAGACCCTTTAACGTATTTTCTTGCAGGGATCGATGCGAAATATGCCGAAAATAGCCGACTCAAGGCAGACCGCCGCCGTGCTGAAATTCTAAAATTGGCCAAGTGGGTCCGGAGACTAATTTTGGGTTTGTTTGGGATATTTGTAGGTACTATTAGTGCGTTTTAATTCCCAAATAAAAATTTAGGGAACCCAAAAATTGCTCGTAGACGCAGTCTAACAGTGTAGCTTTTCGGGTATCAAATCGAATAAAGATCCCTCATTATATTCTCTATCATAGAACTGAAGTCCAAATAAATAATAATACAATATTTTGTGTGAATTTAGAAAATATGCATAATTAATTACGGATTATTAATAGATACAGAATCAGAAATTATTTACTGTTATTTGTTGATTGTTTTTACAGTTTATATGCATAATGTTATCTCATTAAATTGTTTTATGCCTTTGAAAGCATACATGGTCTATTCTGTGTGTTTACTGCCGAATCGAAAAAAAGAATGTTAAACGGTAAAAATTGTGTGATGAAATGAATAAATGAAACGACAGTCTTACTGGATATCTTGGAAGATGGTGGACGGACCGGGGACATAGGCAACCATACCGTAAATGTTGTCTCATACCGGACAAGGTATGGAGATGGCCCGTAATTGAGAATGTTAAATGAAAGAGATCACGTGTAGCGGGAACATTCCTATGACCCCCATGGATACTAGTAGTTTGGTAAAAAGAGTGACAGTTATTGTTTGATTTATTGATGATGGGTATAGAATTATAATATGTGCTATGATTGCTTATTGTACATGAAATCATGATCTGTATAACATTATTGTCTGTATAGATTGTTTTTATGAATCCCACTACGGTAAATAAATGGTAAATAATTTTTTTGATTGATAAATGAATTTGCTAAATATAGTACTCCATTAGCGGTTTTTGAGTTTATACCAACATTTACTTCTGTGTCGGTGAGATAATATGATATTCTTACTGGACTATTATACCTCATCCTTTATTTAACTATTTCAGATCAAGATAATCAGGTTCCAGAGCTCGATCCGCAAGAGGATTGCGAGTAGATGCTATATTTTTTTATTTTCCGTTTATTTCCTTATTTCTTATATTTCTTTCAAAATGGTGAATTTTGTAACACTGTTTGGTACTTTAAATTATTTATGTAATGAATGTAAACCCTGAATTTTTATTACGCTTCCGCACTTTAATTATCTTTTATTTTCTTTAGATATTTTCGGGACCGTTACATTATTATTTTATTCGATAATTATTTTAAAATTTTAAATATAAATTTTTGTTACCTGATGATTGAAATACAAAAGTATGATATATGTTATGCTATAGAGTGTGCATGATATTATGATGTTTATAATGTTATTGTTTTCATAAGTTATTTTTATGAATCTCACCGAGGTAAGTTTACAATAAATAGTTTTATTATTGATAAATGAATTTATTATAAATTATGTTCCATTTGTCGTTTTTGTTTTCTACCAACATTTACTACTGTGACAGTGAGAAAGTGTGACATCTTTACTGGGATAGTGTAGCTCATTCCTTACTTAACCATTTTAGATCAAAATGACTTGGTTCCCGAACCCGTTCCGTGGGAAGACAGCGAGTAGAAGCCAAAGAATTTATTAGTTTTCCTTATAATATTCATTCATAGTATTTCCTTTAATTAATTTATTCTTTCATATCTTTAATACGTTTTGATTATTGTATAAAGGATATTAATTATAATCTATCTTATTTCGCTTCCGCACTTAGAATAAATATATACATTTTCTTTTAATTTCTGGAGTCATTACAGGACTAGTGTAGCTCATCCCTTATTTAACCATTTTAAATCAAGAGAACCAGGTTCCAGACCTCGATCCGCAAGAGGATTGCGAGTAAATGTTATATGTTTTTATTTTCAGTTTATTTCCTTATTTCTTATATTTTTTTCAAAATGGTGAATTTTGTAACACTGTTTGGTACTTTAAATTATTTGTGTAATGAATGTAAACCCTGAATTTTTATTACGCTTCCGCACTTTAATTATCTTTTATTTTCTTTAGATATTTTTGGGACCGTTACATTATTATTTTATTCGGTAATTATTTTAAAATTTTACATATAAATTTTTGTTTAACTTTAAGTTTCAATTATAGAATATTTTTGGGAAGTAGCAAAATTATTTATGAATGCAAAGAAAAAAAAAAGATAATATAGAAATATTAATTATAATCATATATATATATATATATATTATATCAAGATAAATTTTAGATGTTATTATCTATTTAGATTTTAAAATATAAAAATAAAATTAATTATAATACATTTATGTTTTTTTAAATAAAATAGAATTTAATTTTATTGCATAATTTTAATTTTTAAATACAAATCTATTTAATTTTTTAAACATACATAACAATTTAATTTTGGTAACTATAAATTATACACTATATAATTAATTTTTTAAAATTATAACTCATGTATAACACGTGATAAAGATATAATTATATAATTATATTTAAATAAATTTTTATTATTTTAAATAAAAAAAATTTACATATGCTTCGTACTAATTAAATTATATAATATAACGTTAAACTTAGTAGGAGAAATATCAATTTCGGTTTTCCTTTCATGAAATCAAACTCAATTAAAAAATATACCCTGAATTTTTTGTTTTTTATTTTTTATTTTTGATTTTTTCTGTTAATTACAAATCCATTTACTTCTAAATTTTTTTGGTTTACTAACTTAAAACAGAAGGATTTGGAGAGTGATAATTAGTTCTTAACAACTTTCTTAATAAACAATTATAAAATTAATTATAATTTAATCTCCATCTTTAGAGGTGAAAATAATTTTATGAGATCAAAGAATTCAAAATTAGATGACATTAATATAAACATCAAGACTGATACTTTGATGAATGAAATTGGGAGGTCAATCGAAGATTGATTGATGTCCTCCATGTATAACTCCGATTTTGATCCTAAACTCTATCGAAGATGTTAAAGTTAGGTATTTTTCACTAAGATAATATTATTTTTTAAAAAAATAAAAAAAAATCGATTCTTTTTAATAAATAAATCCGATCACAATTTCGAATATAGAATTCAAAGGGATCAAATATGCTACTAATACTCGTACTTGCTCTGCTATTCTGCCCAGGTCTTGCTGAGGTAGGTTAATATTACGTACTCATACTGAATTAGTATTCACCTAAACTTTAATGAAATGAGAACAACAACGTAGTAATCTAATAGTTAAAACCGTTATATTCTACTTAAAATTCAAAAGTTCAAACCTCGCGTAGGACTTACAACTTACTACTTTATTAATGTACTATAAACTGACAATGACAAAACTATAATATTTGAATCGGTAAAACTGAAAACTAAACTCGCTAATACATTGATAACACTGCAATAGTTAAGTTAGAAGAAATCTTAACGAGTTAATTATATTTCTAGATGAAAGAACATTACGCGATGACTAAATTTCCTTAGTTGAAATGACCACAATAGATTAAAACTCCAAATAAAAACAATTGAACTTTTAATTTATGTCCAGTAGTCTAATACTAAATTGTTACTAGCAAGCAGTAGAGGAAAAACTTGCCATGCTAAACTTCCATATTTGTGCATGTTCCCATCAGCAAAGCTCAGGATTCCTCAACTTCCATCACATCCTCCCACCATGAAACTGGACCCAGTCCATCATAATCAATTGATCCCTGCAAATATGTAATTATACTTAATTTTTACCAACTTAACTCCAGAGATTTACAGCAGGGGGGAAAAAAACCCCAATATCCTTCTTTGCATTTCTCATGAAACATTGAAAAGTTAATGCCAAATTGCCAGCCCAAGCAAATATCTCCAACAATAAAATAAGAATCTTTTGTTTCAAATTCACTTCATCACTCAAATCTTGAGAATCTTTTGTTTTAAATTCACTTCATTGCAAGCAATGAGAAATTTGTCCACCCCAAAAAATTCAAAAAAGTCTTAAAAGTATGTAATTCGGTCTCGGTAAAACTTCGAGGGACAACCTTATCAAGTTAATGCTATCGGTAAAAATATATCCAAGTCAAAATATGATGATATCAAAATCAACTTACAGTAACCACCATAGGTGCAAAAGGCTTCGATTGCTCCGGTTGCTCAACTGGAATTGGAGGATACGTGACGCTGTGAACTCGAAATTTAATCTGTCATTTTTAAAATCAACAGTTAATGAAAACTAGTGCAGTAGACGTTTGGGGACATCTGTGCCAAACAAAAAAATAGAAATATAACCTGATCTATCCCGTCAATAATAAAATCGCCACCACCATAGTTCCATACCCATCTTACATAATTCCTGAAGTACCAATATAGCAATGAGAAGTCATAAGATGATGCAAAAGAAGGAATAGAAGAAATTCTGTAGATGTTTTTAATGTTCTAGCAGAGCAAGATATAGCAGGCTTGGAGATTTACCTATTATTGGAATCTGGCTTAAAACTGCTAGGATTTGGCAAAAGATGGACAGGTACGTATATGTCATCAAAAAATCCTAGTGTCACTGCCAATTATAAAAACAGGATTATTTTTGTGCAGTAAAGAAAATTTGGGGTGTAAGATTTTGGTTCTAAAGCAAAAAGTCAGACCAAACCAAGCCAAAAAAATCAAATTATATATTGAAGAAACATAATAAAAAGTATTATCGGAAATCTAACAAGAACTATCATATGCTTTTGAGGTTCCTCGATTAACACATTCTATGTTTTATCAAGAAACTGTTCACATTAACTTTATGCATGTTACAAACAGGATCTTTTTGTCAAAAGCTAAATAGTAGTTTAAATGTTACAAACATATTGAATGTGAAAACAAGATGGAAATTTTCTCTACAATAATGGAAACTCTTTTTTACTTGAAAAATCTACAATCCTCCAAATGTCCCTATTCTTCTCTGAATCTTCAAAATTCCGCTAGATTTTTTCCCGAAATTTCTCAACTTTCATTTTCTTCTTCTTCTTGTGAAAGCATCAATCTATAGTTTGGATGGGGCATGGCGAACTATAAAATGAAAAATACTGATTATAGAGAAATATAAAGGTTTCAGAATCTTTTTTGGGCCAAGAAAGAGAATTCGAGATTTGATAAAATCTCCAGGGAAAGAGAGAAAACTTTGAAGATTGGAATTTCTTTTCAAATAATTGCTAAAATTATCATGAAGAAAAATACTTATTTTCCCTTAGAAGTACTTTCTCATATCCAGTACATGTGCATTCACTTTAAAATTATTAATTAATTTTTTTACAGAAAATTGAATCTACAACATACATAAGTACAGGACAGATATTGTCTCATTTAACTGTCCAAGCGGTAATTGAAATAACAATGTCAACTATAGGACCTACTTACAACATCTATATAAGATAGTTTATATTAGTTTTACATATTATATGCATATCTTATTTTATTTTCTTAAAAAATAAATTCTAAATAAATATATACAAATGAAACTATGGTACCTTTTAAATGTAACTTAAATCATTTAAGGTGTAAACAAATACTCTAGGCTTGTACCTTAGTTCGATTTTTGAGAAAAACCCCAAGAAAGGCCTAAAACTATTTTTATATTTGTTATTTTCAGAAAACCAAAAATAAGGCCAAGCCAAATAAGAAGTAGAAACAAACTTAATTAAATAGTTTAATTTGTTTTGACGTATAAGCTAGTCTGGTTTAGTTTCAGGAAAATAAAAACTGATTTTTCAGTTTGATTTAGATTTATCGTTCAAACCAAAATAAAAAATAACAGTTTATTGAGAGAAAGGGACAGAGAAGTGGCTTGGCCGCTTAGGGAGAAATTCATGCAGCTTCTCTGAAACAAGAGCAATCACAGGATAGCATAGAGCTAATTGATGCTCCTAAATTCAGTAATTGAAAAAATTTCCAAACTAAAAATATATCGGTCAAAACTATTTGAGACTTTTAAAACATGACTATATCATATTCTAAAATTCCTCCACGAGACAAATCCAGAGTAACCACCAGAAAGCGGGCAGGGGACATGGAAAGTATGTAACGCCCGGAAAATTAGGAAATTTTAGTTATTTTATTATTAATTATTTTTATTAAGTTAAAAAAAAAAAAAAAAGTGTCACGTCAGCAGACCCAATCAGCAGTCCTTGTCAACAGGACCTGCCACATGGCAAGACCACGTCGACCGGGGACGGGCCACGTTGGCGATCCGCATACGCGCGATCGGACGGTCCAAATCAAGCGTACGCACGGACAGCCCAGATGCAATTGCACGGACGGCCCAGATTCAATCAAAAACGGACGGCCCAAATTAAATCAAAATGGACGGCTGAGATCAAAAGGCAAAAGGGTATAAATAGAACCCCCACACCTGACCACAAAAACCCTAGCCGTCTGCCCTCGCCGGAGAAGACGAACCAGACGCCGGAGAAGCCGACCGCCGCCACCCGCCGCCGCACCAGGGAGATTTCCGACCGCCGATCGAGGTAAATTTCATACCCCCGACTCGTTTTTCCACGCTGATTTCCCCTGTGGCCAAATCGGAGCCAAAATCCCGGCCAAACGGCCGGAAAACACGGCCGAAACCCAGCGGCGCCGCCGTGCCCCTCCTCGGTTTTTGCCTCCGATGAGGCCCTTCCCGGCCTCCGTTTGATGCAATTTTTATATCACCGTGATCACCATTCTTTTCTCTACAGGTTGATTGGAGCCGAATCACCAAAACACGAACCTCACCGAAGAGCCGCCGCACCCGAGAGCACCGCCGCCGGTAAGCTTCGGTTTTCCGTAATTTTTTGGCCCCCCGAGGGCCCTAGGGTTGTTTTATCGCAGGGACCGATGCAAGTGTGGCCGAATTCGGCCAGAAACAGCCGAAAACGGCCAACTCGAGGCGAATCGCCGACGCAAGCGGCGGCGCCGTTGCCGGAGCACGGCGGAGCCGCAGTGCCAGAATTGCGATATTGGCCAAAAAGGGGCCCTGGGCCTAATTTGGGATTTTTTGGAACACGTGCAGGTACCGGTAGTGCGTTTCAGTTCTCCGGAAAAAATTCAGGAAAAATTAGGGACAGCCTGTAGGCGCACTGTGAAGCCGTGTTCGGACCCCGAAACGAGTAAGGACCCCTCACCCTATTTTCTATCACGGTATTAAAGTTCAATAATGATAAAATGGTAATTCTTGAATCAACGAATGTGTGAAATTGCTTAAGGTCGCTAATGGAGCCCGAGTCTAGTGTGTTTGTCGGTTAACTGTTATTTGGCATATTTTACAGTTTTAAATGCAGTATGAGGTCTGATGTTTTCATTTCATTATTTCGCGTGCATATTTTACTGCTTTATTGATTATGGGTTAAATGACTGAGAAACCGATGCTGTATGTTGTCTTGTTTGGCATAAATTACTGTTTGCTTGTTTGTATGTAAATTGATGATACTGACTGAGGAAAAGGAGAATGAAAGATTATGTAAATTGATAATTGTATAATGTGGTCAGCCTGACTAGATATCCTGGGAGATGGTGGACGGACCGGGTCCGTAGGGAACCCTACCGGGATTGTGGTCTCTCATACCGGACGGGGTATGGAGACCTTATGTGTTTTGGCGCCCATACCAGACGGGGTATGGGGACGACCCGTTTCACCCTCATACCGGACGGGGTAATGAGGTTTATAGTTTTGGTGCCCATACCGGACGGGGTATGGGGACGGCCCTGAAATCTGATTTCAAGTGTTAAGGGTTAACGGGTAGCGGGACCCCTATGGATCCCCATGGATACTAGTAGGCTGGTAAATGAGGAAAATATGTTGTGTAATGATTGAATTACAAAAGGCGTGATAAGTATTATGTTATACAGTTTATATGATTTCATGATGATGATAATGTTATTGCTTTCGTATATTGTTTTATAAATTTCGTCGAGGTAAGTGGATGGTAAAGGTTTTATTATTAATAAAAAGGATTTGTTGTAAATCATGCTCCATTGGTCTTTTTATGTTTTCTACCCACCTTTACCTCCGTAACGGTGAGATATCGTGATGTCCTTACTGGGCTAGTGTAGCTCATCCCTTATTTAATCATTTCAGATTAAGAAGACATTGTTCCCGATCCCGTCGCGCAGGAAGACGACGAATGGGACGCCTAAAGACTCCATAGTCATATTCAAAGTTTTTACTTTCGAGTCTCTCTTTTAGTTAGTTTGATCTTTTATATTTTGAGCACGTTTTTGGTTTTAGTGTAAGGGATGTTAATCAAAATTTTGACTTCGCTTCCGCATTTGACATTTTTAATACACATATTTCATTTCAAATTTCCAGGGTCGTTATAAAGTATATTGCAAAATTGTTTATAAAGGAGCTAGCATGTCCATAGAAGGGAAAAAAAAAAGAAATGGAAACAAGAGGAATATGTCTCAGACTGGATTATAAACAAGAGAGCAAATTTTACTAGACATACAGCGCAAACCCTTCGCATCAGATTCTTTAAGTTTTGCAGCAATAATCTCTCCAACAAATGGTTGGAAAACAATTAGTCTGAAAACAACCTGCCAAGAGAATATCAAATTTATAACTAGGATAACCTATCTGCCATAGAAAGTGCTGGCATAGAAAAATTCAAGATCCTCATACCAAATAGCAAATTCCATCAATACAAACAAAGAAAAAAAAAACAATTTTTAACTAAAATGTTAACAGAGGAAAATCATATATATTGGCTTTATTTCAATGTCATGCCATGAAAAACTGAAGACAGACTCATATAATATGACATCATGCATCTCCTTGCAAGTAAACATTAGGCTTGGAAGGGCAATGCTATCATGGGAATGCTTGAAAATATACTGAATAATTCAAATTGATCTTAAGCCTTTCAAAGAGGTGTGCTAATGCTATTACATGTTTATTTGTCGGCAAACAGATGTTTCATATGCATGCAAATATTCATGCAAACCTATCTAAGGGAAATTAGAAGATAGAGTATAGTTCCAAATATTCATGTAAATCTATCTAAGAGAAATTAGAAGATAGAGTATAGTTTCAATATACCGTATAGGTTGAAGCACCATCTCCAGGAAAGATAAACCCTCCTTTAATGGATTGAATATCATATACAGATATACAAAGTCCCAAATTTGCAATAACCTTCATCAAACATAAGCTCCATAAATTAGAAACTGCTGGGATAGTTCATCAAAACTTATAGGAACCGTATAATTGAAAGCGAAAAAAAAAGAATTTCACTTCAAACCTTATCTAAGAAAAGACTTTCCAGTTCTAACTTGATAGCTTCTTCAAGAGCGAGGCTAAGTAGATGAGGCGGCAAACGAAATGTGTGCTCAACTTTGCTAAGTTTGAACATTTGAACCTTCCTAAAAAAGATGAACCGCAAAACTAAGAATCAATGAAGTGCAGATTTGTCCCTTGAAATAAAGATTATTTAGCGATACAAATTATGGGTATTGTTTTTCAAGTATTTAAGTAATTCTAAAATAAACTATTATAGCAAGTTAAAAAGCACAAATCCCCATTTTCACAATCTATACTGCAACCACTCTCAAACACAGAGTTCTCATAGACATTTCATCAAACATCTGCAAAGCAAGAATAAAGCAACCGTTCTCCAGTAGATATATTATATGGAAGAGTGATTTTACAGAGTTCAGCGACCGTTCAAGTTGTCACTCTGTATGTGCGCGCTCGAGGACTTAAACTAAGTAGCACGATAAAATTTGGGGTCTCTCTAAAATCTCAAAAACTGAGCAATCCAACGGTGGTGGATGAAGGGGGACTGGCTCCGGTGTACAAGACAGAAAGACACGCTTTTGGGAGATCGATTTTTGCAGACATAGAGGAGGGGCTTGGTACTTTGGGTGTCAGATTTTGGATAGAAGAACCGATAGTGGCTAAGAATTTTACCCAAGAACCAGACAGAGAGTTGTCTAGATTTCTGATACCCAGAGCTGAGAAGGGAGGCGCTTGGCTGGGGTTTTTTGGGTTCTATGGGGAGCAAAGGAGGGATTTTTGGGATTCTGGATTTTTGCGTTTAAATGGGTTCTACTGCTTCAGAGAAGTGATCCAGAGGGTGAATAAGGAGAAGATGAAGGGTGAAGAAAGAGGCGGCCAGGAAAATTTGACTCAACATTTGACTGGGCTTCAAAATATTTAATTCTATTTAAGTACTAACAAAGTCTTTTCCTCTCATGGGTTTTTTTCTCATGGAGTCTACGTCTTTTGGGTTTGATTTTTTCTACACTCGCTCTTACTTCCTTCTCTTGGGTTTTACTGTGTTTTCTTTGTATTTTGCTTTTCTTCTGGTTCTATTGGAAGAGTTTTGTTGCACCAGAAGACACCATGGATGAATACTCAACTTATGGAACCATACACAGCTGTAGACATTTACTTGACACTCGAATAAATACATCCTATAAAGGTACCAAGTTTTAAAAAATTTTGTCATTAAAAATGATGTAACCTTGTTTATATTGAATATTATCAATTGTAAAGATCCAAAATCTTAAATGAAATAAATTTATAATTTACGTACAGAAGCGAATAAAATAAAGTTAGAGTTTACATTTTTTATATAATAATTTAGAATGTCCAATAAGGTTACGAGAATGTTCATTCTAAAAGACAAACGTTAATTAAAGAAATAAAAAAAAAACGAATAAATAAGCATTTTATGATAACTTTCACTAGTACTTGAAAGAATGTTCGAATTTGGTCACAAGGATGCTCGAAATCGAATTTTGAGTGGGTAGAAATTTTTTTTACCTTTTTTAGTTGCCGGTGGTGACTTCAATGCGATGGCGGTTAGCGATCGGCCTTCTTCTCCAACACCTGGTTCTTCTTTTCTGACGGGAGTTGACAACTAAGGTTTGAGTTTTTCTGCAACGCAAGATATTTATATTTATCCTGCGTCGAGTTGGACCGTTTATCGCGATTGATTTCGTCCGTCCGATCCCGTCTAAAGAGAAAACGAATCAGAACCGTTCATTGTGATTGATCTCGTTCGTCTGATCGTACCTAAGGGGGGAAACGAATATGCGCCATTCATGCGTGCGAGATCGAACCTGAGTTGTCGGATCGCTGAGCACGCGAATCGCCCGTGTGGCGCCGACGTTAGTGTATTTTGACACGCAGCGTGCTCGGTTCGTCGGAGCTGCTAACTGGACTCTCACGTGGCTGAATTTTCTCTTTTTACACTTTAACTCCTGTTTCTAATTTTTTTTTCAAAAACACTCCCGAACTCAAATTTTTACCATTTTTCTTAAAAAAATTATTTTCAATTTCGTCTTTAATTTATTTATTTTTTTAAAAAAATTAATAAAATAAAAATATAAATAATTAAATAATTATGTTAATAAAAAAATTATCTCAAATCGTTTTTTCAACCTAGGTATTACATCAATAATCATATATAATAAGCTAAAATTAATCATAAATTCATATATTTAGTAGCTAAAATATCTCATCCCACAACCCCTTCTGATTACCGACCTATTAGTCTTTGTAATGTTGTCACAAGATTGGTTATTAAAGTATGTAAAGGATAGATTAAAATGCATACAAGATTGTATCGTGCATCCCGCGTAATTAATTTTTATTTTTGAAAGACTTATTAATGATAATACATTTTTAGTACTTTCGAATTTTTTCATTATTTAAGACCGTAAGAGACGAATACACAAGTCTTTTAAGAATATAGAAAATTGAAAATCTAATTTTTTTAGTCTATTATTATAACTATAATAAAAAAAAAAAATTGTAATGCCATCACATAATATATTTTTTTTTTACTAAAAATCATCATAATTTACTAAATAATATTCAATTTAATAAAATTTAATTTGATCATTCATAATTTTATTTTAAAATATCTTCAATTACACTAAATCAAACATTATAAATTTTATCATCACAGTATGAATCAAGCATTATATACACAATCCACTAATTATTTTATATCTTTTTCCCAACCTTCTAAAGAAACTTTGTCTAATGAAGGAAAAATAATTTTAATCATGCAATTGACAGACGAAGGATGAAAGCGCAGGTTGCTTTACTACAACAGAGGAGCTGAAAAAAGAAGGAAACTCTTTTTACAGGCAGCATAGAAGGAAGATGATTTTAGAGATATATTTAGAGGGACAATCCGGACTCCTCATCCTCATCAAGAGTGGAAGTGTAAGTGAAGTAGAGAGCCCAGATGAGACCAAACACACCGAACAAAATCCAACCCAGAAGATTGTTGCTTAATCCAAATGGAAGTCCTGTCCCTTCCGTGCTCAATCTCTCATCCACCAAACCCATCGCCGGGCTCGACACGGTCAACGCACTTGCTGCTGCAACCATTGACGCATACATCCCCGTGTTCATTCCACTCTCATTCTTCTCAGGCTTTCCCTCCATCGAGCACCTCACTTTTCCCTTATTTGCCATTGATGGCAGTCCTGAAATCAAATTTTCAGACACACCCTCAGAACCAACCTTACTTTCTCTCTTAAGAGTTTGATGAAGGGGCACAGTTTATATAGATTCAAATGGGTAAGTTGTGATTTAACTTCTGTATTAGTCAAAGATCTTACCGATAACAGGCGAAGCTGAGACACCCAGTGATCTCCTGGGGGCAAGGCCAGCACGGATGATTGATGAGGTGGGAGCGGTAGCAGTGATGGAAGCCATTTTCGTTTTCTGTTGGAGATAATGAATGAAGAAAATGAGTACGAAGGTGGCTGTGAGAGGTTGGAAAGGAATGTAGAGAGAGTAGAGAGATTAATATTATTGGATCAAAATCTGTCCAACCCACCACGTACACTAACATTGATAGGATTTGGAGCCCATCACTTGATATCCCCTATCCGGAAATACCCAATTAGTTTCCTCCACGTGTCACATCATCCATTAACAGATTTTCTGAGCATTCCTCTGGAAAAAGATTTTAAAGGAGTGGAATTTACACGCCTTTTATCGTAGCCTGAGTTCTGCTTTATGAAATATAAACAGATATCCCAATATGACAACTGACAACTTTTTTTTTGAGTTAAAGTAAATAATTTAAATGATTAATAGTATAACGACTTAAGCTAATCTCAGATTTAGAGAATTCAAATTAGTATAGTAAATTACCATTTATAGAGAGTACATGTCAGTATTTCTCAGTTACTCGAAGCTTCTTGTTCTTTGATGTCAATACTCCCACATCGGATCAGAGACCACGCACCCAAATCAAATGCAGTTTCAGATTTGTACCGTCACCAATGTGGTAAAACGCTAGTCTTGATGAAATACAATAAATTTGCGAGATCGTCATATGAAAAAATCAAGGGAACCGATCGTTCCAGTGCGTGTTCGAAAGGGTACTCATATATCAGTTTCGATTTTATGTACAGACATCTAGCTGCAATATAACATTCTCCAGTGACTCTTATTACATTCCAGTAATAGCTAGATAAGAAGAAGGGGCTCAACTCCTACAAAGATTATAAGGCCGGAAAAAATTTTTATGGAAAAAGAATTTGAGTTGAAATTTACCCGTGTGATCATTAAAGAATGAAGAATCTGATGTATATCTATCAACTAATACACCATTTTCTATTGTTGCTATACTCAATCACTCGTGGATATTGCATTGCAGCAAGTAAGGGTTATGATAATCGACATGCTTGCTCCAATATCCTTTGTATTTTGCTATTCCGATATCTAACCATGGTTTCATGACTCCGTCATAATGTATAACTGCTGCCCGTTCAATGTCACCCCGGCCAACTCCTGAGTCATAACCCAACCCAAGCAGATGCCATCTCTTATTTAAGGCCACTGTTTGGTTATAGAAGGTCACCCAACCTAAGGGTAGACTCCCAGCCTTCCACAACGGCCTTTTATATCCCTGCACCAGATCACCAGAGAACACGAATGAGACACCTAGCGTGTATGAAATAACTTCGCAAGAAAGGAATACAAGTATTTTCCCTTCCGAGAGCAAGTAATGATGCATACTAGAATGATGAATCATCTACGCATCATCCACCAAAATATCTCGAAGAGTCATCCATAGGTACTTAAAACATTGTTTATGCACATTTCAAGAGTAGAAACCTGTAAGAAAGGCAACTTGAAACCAACCTTCTTACCGTTTGGGTGCTACCATGATGCCTCCGAGGCATAATGTGTCACACAATAATTTTCTAAACTTTCGTAGTAATTTAGTACAGGTAACAATCGAATAAATAGCATTAGAGGCTAAGCATATAAAGTTCTTAGATTACTATAAATGTCAGAAAATTGCTATGCGGGCATGATACAAGAGCACAGTACAATTTCCCTCCTTATTTATGCATAGTACAATGATGCAGCAGTCAGGTATGATTTACTATCTATGCGAACATCAATATGTCATAACCTAGTATGTAACAGGCATTTAAGCATCTCTTCCACCCAATAGCATAACGTGATATATAACTACAAACAAGGAATGTGTTTAAGATCTATAAGATCTGAGGGTAGTTATTCTTGGTTATCACAAAAATTACAGGTTTCAAAAATACTTTGACAGATACAAAATCTTGAGCAGAAGGAGATCAAAGAGAGTACAGGAAAATAATGAAGAAATGTTTAACTTCAAGGTAAAATCCCAGCTAGTCAAAGAGAGATACCAAAAGCAAATAACAAATTGGAGAATCAAACTTCTTGAAGACCCTAAAATTCTTTCCGTAAAAAACTACCAAAAGGATGACTTGATTTCAGAGATGGAATAGATGACATAAAGTTACAAAACCATTCTGAGAGGAAGAAAAGCAAATGCAGACAAGAAAGGCACATACCAGTTGCAGATATTTATGGTACACAGAAGTTAAATTTCGTCTTCTCCAGACTTGCAGGTCAAATAAATTCATTCCAAATGCCCATGTGCAGGCTTTAGCATCAAATTTCTTGGGCACTAATGTATCTGAGAAGTTAATAAACATGTCCATCCTACGAAATGAAGCTTCGCCCTCCTGACAAGTCTCGACTGCTGCATTGACTTTCCCTTTCATATTAATACTCCAAAGTCTGCTTAAATCCCTTTGGACTACCACATCATGGTCAAAAAGAACAATCTTATCCAGTTCAGGAAAGACATCTGGCAGATAGAATCGAAGGTGGTTCAGGGCAGAGTTAAATCTCACATCATGAGAATTTTGCTTCTTCAAGGTGGCATTATACTTTGAAGACAACCAATCAAAACTGTCTGTGCTCTCGATCTGGATTGTAGCTTTGCCAGGAGGATTTACTAGGAACCACATTGAAATTGCTGGGAGATTCAGCGAATCAGTCACCACATGGAACACGATTTTTTCTGGTTCCTGCAAATGGTAATCTGTTAAAGGAAGAAAAATAAATGGCTTCATAACCAATTTAAGAAGCTTTTGCACAAGTGCATTAACTTACCATAGATATTTTAAAATAGGTAGTGGGAGAAAACTGCATTGGCTATTAATTCATGACTTAGTACCATGAATAAGCAAGAACAACAATATGCTTTCTTTTCCCAAGTAATTACTTGAGAGAGAGAAAAATAGGCATAAAGCGCACACTGTACACAATTATGTTTAAAGAAAAAAGGTCCACATGTTATGAACTTCCACTATTGCAATCATTGCATCCCATCTCCTAACAGCAGACAATACAATAGTTTCTTTTTCTGTGCATTAATGCCTAAGTGTGAAGACTCGAGTATTACTGCAGCACATAAAACAATCCTCCAACACTCACTTCAATGATTGAATCAGACAAGTTTTGGCAGGACAACTAATATATTACATTCAACCAGAAAAAACTTGAACCAACAGTAATATAATAATAAGTATCTAATCTAACATGAATCATTCTTATGGAGCAGTTCTTTTTAGAACGTTTGGACTCAGTCAATCCTGAGAGACAAACAGTTCTGCCTGCGGCACCTTCAGAAAAGACAATACTACATTCATATGAATCCTTCTTTACCAGTATGGTTAGAACAATTGATCTAGAAATAGAGTAGAAGATTCTTGAGGCTGAGTTAGCACAGAACTTTTGTTTCTTAATAAGCAAGTCTTATTGGTAAGATGAATCTGCAGATTTGGATAAATACTCATCAATTTCCTTTCTGCCAGCACATTCTATAGTTATATCTAAATATAAGCCAGAAGCTACAGAAGCACTAACATGGTACTAAATTAAATTAAAATTGTAGCAAACGACCTGAGAGAATTTACCGTTGCAAAGGTGACAGTCGAGTTAATAACCACTGCACAAGCAAGGACATTGTCAGAGAAGACAGCATAGTGATAAAGACTAGGATCATGCAATTTTTGTTGATTAGGTAGCTGCCTTTCCTCTGGCTGTAGGGCAAAATATTCAGCTGTCAGCCGCATAGAAAGGCAATGGAGACCTTTTGGGGTAGTCCTTGCAGCAAGCTGAACAAGATATGTCACTTGATTTTTCTGTGCCCGTACCTGTTCTTCAGCATTGTAGGTCATAGCACGGAGCTTGGTGGCCATTGCAGGACAATCATCAAAAATCTGACTGGCTTTCGACAATGAAACCTCCATGGATTTTATTTTCTGCAGAACGCTGCAAAGACCAATGGTCTTCAGGACCAAATTAATGCAATTCTTCACTCCTAAGTAGTAGCACTCTGTGGAATTCTTTTCTCTAAAACTTTTACTTTAAAGAACTGTTATACTCCTACTTCATCTACTGGATGATCAACTAAAACAAATCCTTAGCTAGAATTTCAATTCTCCTTTTACCTCCTTGACAAATCTGAATCTCTGGAGGCCACACCAGCTGCCCGTTCCAGCTCTTTTATTCTTGTTCTCAACTCTTTGACTAAGTGGGCATTGCTGCCTGGAGGTGCAAAATTTACGTATGCTTTGGCTCTAATGAGCTGATCTTTCATCTCCTTTATCTTGTCATCTGTGTGCAATGGAGATCGCTTGTTCTGATCAGGCTGAACTGATCTTTGACTATATTGTTCCTATAGGCAAAGCCAAGGACAAGATGCAATTTTGGGAATGTTATATAAATGGCAAGCAGTGTGTATCTGCTACAACTAGAGATGCCAGTATGATAACCATAAACATTAACTGATCATTGAATTAAAAAAGAAGAAAAGATTACTCTTTATACAACCTTTCCATATCCAAAATTATTGGCATGCAGACCTAGTATAAAATGAATTTGTATTAATAAATTACCTAATTTAGATTTTAGTATACTGGTAATCATCATCGTTCTTTTTCTCAAAAATTTTAGAAACATTTAACAAAATTACAAAGAATATTTACAAAATTAGCTTCCAGTATTTGCCCTAGCTTTGATCTATGGGCCTAAATTCCAAAGCTTAAATGATTGAAGATGAAAATTCTGAATCATTATAGCCACTCAATGATAATATATCTACAACTATTATAATGAACCAAACAGATTCTCAGGACAAAAATCAGAACCATGAGGTTAATAATGAAACCAAAGTTATACAATTCTTGCTCCCAAATCTATCTACAGGTATTATAACGACTGGATTACAAATAAGGGAACCAAACAGATTCTCGAAGCAAAATAAGAACCATGAGCATTAAGAATGAAACAAAAGTTGTACTATCCTTGCTCTCACTCCTCATAGGAACAACAAAAACTAGAGTCATGTGGGACCATCAAACATAATAGCTTCCAAAACTATTAGTAATGAAGTATCATTACAATGATTGCTCCCAGTGTGAAGTTATTATATTTTAGTGATTTTTATACATATTGTTTCAGTGAGATTTTTTCCTGTCAAAAAAATTTAGTAGGATTTTATCACTTATCAGTTAGCTTTAACGCTATCCCATTAATATTAGGATTTATAGACGCTCTATAAATATATGGATCATTCTTCAGTGTGGAAACAAGATGAGAAGAAAGGCTTTTCTGCGAGGTCTATGTACACGGTATTGTGTAAAAGGGATAGCTGCAGTATTAACAATGGTGCACCCTTCAAACAGACCTGGAAGAGTAGAGCACCGCGTAGAATGGCTTTTTTTACATGAGAAGCTGCGAAAGAGTGCATTTTAACTATTGATATGCTTAAAAGAAGAGGAATCACTAGGGTTAACAGATGTTATTTGTGCATATCAGATGAGGAAACGTGTAACCACTTACTGTTGCGGTGCCCGAAGACTTATAGCTTACGGATTTCTGTGTTAGGGCTGCTGGGGTTGAATTGAGTTATGGTTGAGAATGTGAATAGAAAATTGTGGGCTTGGGCGGGTTTTTGTAAAAAAAATAGGCATTTATTTCTTGTTCCACTTACTATTTTTTGGGTTGTGTGGAAGGAAAGGAATGCGAGAGCATTTGAAGACATTGAGACTAACTTTACATATATTAGAGATAGATAAATACATACATTTAATTCTATTTTGTTAAATCATGACATCAATGATTAGGAACATCTTGTGATAGCAATGTACCACTTAATTGACTTGTAACTAGTTATTATACTTGGGTGATATCCCCTTGATATCTTTGTGAATAATATTTTTTCTCTTTTCTTTTAAAATTTTTTTTTTTCAGTGCTAGAAAATTGCTAATCAATAATATATGCTGATATTTTCTCATAGTACGAGTGCCTGACAACCTTGTAATTGAGGCTGTGACAACCATTGATTCTGGTTGCTTGGTTTTCTCTATCCATGTGATTTGTGGATCTCAATAGTAGATAAGAAAATTTTCCCTTTTTACTATCTTTTCTAATCCCTATTCCATGGTGCTATATCACATAGCCATCACCTTCAGAAATTTCACTCAAGCATTTTTTAAGGGCTTTTTTCAAGATAAAAAGTGTAGTATTTGCATTTTTTAGGGGCATAAACTTCTAATTTTGGTGTACTCAAATAAAATATTTAAAATTAAGCTTAACAAACATGGAAACACGTAGGATTCTCCACTTGACTTTCACATCATTCTTACAAAATTGATAGAGCCAACGTTACAAGTCCATTTTCATAGTTCCATGAATTTATCTTATACCAAACATCATAAATTCGGAAATATTTCCAGTTATTTCAACCAATATCTGAGGTCTTGCCTCTATAACAACCTACATGCATATCTCTGACCATCAAGATCAATCTTGTTGAACGTTAGAAGCTTTTGATAATTACCTAATCCTTTATCCATATTCTTGCAAATTCATTAATTTCCTCCTTGCTTGTCTAACCCTCCCAAAACCTACTCCAAAATCCATCTCAAGATCCTCCTCTTGTTTGCACTTAATAGAGTTTATTAAAACCTCAATCCTGCACCACTTATTCTCCTAACCAGTATTTTTATGTTAACCAACAAATAGCAATCTATCTCCTTTAGACATGCACAACAATGTAGCTAAGGTAATCGACCTCCTTTAGATATGCTCAACACTAGATCTCTCCTACATACTCACAGCATCTCAGAAGACATTTAGAACCAACAGGAAACTCGTTTCATTTTCCCAGGAGAGTGCAGTTTACTTCAATGAAACTATGGTGTGTAATGACAACCTTGTACTCTACTCTACTAACAGTAGTTTAATTAATTAGTCTTGCTAACTAATTTGATCTCATGAAACTGACAGGATAGCTTTTCTCACTAAAAACTGAAAAGAACATAAAGAACCACTGTCCTCTAAAAGAAAAAACATAAAACACCAGCAAATTATCATGTGATTGCCAGACCATGCTAGGCATCAATCCAGCCACCTATTACATAATCAAACAACACAACTCCTTTAAAAACAGCCAAATTCTTTCCGATTATATACATACCTTTTCATCAGATCTTAAAATTGTTTTCTGCTGACTTTTCTCACTTTTTTCTTTTTCTTCAAGATAAATTTCCGAAACTTGAAACAATAAAAATAAAACCAAAATTAAAATCAATAACAAAGGCCTCCAGGGCAAAATAAAGAACAGAAACCTCATGATACTGACCACTTTTTATGACAGAAACATTCAAATCCTCATAACTCCTTGGTAGGTTAGAATCAAGATTCTCGCTAGAAGTATTAACACTATCTACAGAATTAAACTCCTTATCCTTGTAAATGACCAATTTTGGCTCCCTCAAATCTTTTCCATCTTCCTAAATCACAAAGCAAACAAGTTCCATGTATATGAGGCAAAAGAAGATATAAGCAAACAATAAAAAAAAAAAATCAGAACTGATAGATCTCAAGCTACCTGCTGAATTGCATTGAGTTTTAAACCATCTGTTCTAAACTTCTGCATCAGACAAATAATCCAAAACATCAATGGGCGGAAAGCAATGAAATCTGTGCTCTGTTTCGTTGCTAGGGAGAATGAAATTAGTAGGTGAAAACAAAATAATATTCCGAAACCGCATGTTTGTGAAATCTCAAACTGCTATGAATATCTTTACGGAAGTCAAGAGAAGGTTACACTTTAGCTCAAAACCAGAAAAGATAAAGAAACAAGAAATCCAAACACTTGAATTTCTCGTCCTTCTCCCACTTTGCTTAGCAATCAAACAGAGCACAGGAACAACAATAGAAAATTTTCAGATTTGAGGATATGGATTCATACAATAGTTGATAAATCTTCAATAAACTCTCTCCGCCCTGCCATAACAGAAACAAAAATTCGAACAAATAAAATCATTAAAGAAAGATCAAATCAAAAGAGAAGCAACGATATTGCAAAGACATAGTAAACGGTGCAAATAAGAAATGTGGATTTGGACGATTACATAAAGACTGATACGGAAGCTTCCGTTGTCCACATGTATCCTATACAGATCATCCACTCTATTCTAAGAAAATGTTCATCTCGTTACATCACAGATACCAAGACACATGTATACATATAGACGTAAAAAGAGCACTATCAACACGGAAGTTTACCGGTGGAAGTGAGGGCCTTAAGCCTGTGAGAAACAAGAACGATGGGAGCAAAAACAGAAACAGTAAGCAACGAGAGGATGCATATCCTCTGCCATTGACGAACTTGCTTCATCAATCTAAAACCCTATAAATGCCAAAAAGAAGCGATCCTCACTCTTAAGAACTTGTTTCTTCTCTCAATCGTTCTCCAAAAAGCACATTTCATAGATTGAAATCACGCAGATTCTATGCTTTAACAAGAAGAAACGTGAAAGATCAAACTAGGGTTCTGGCTTCTCCTTTTTAGTACTTTTACAGAAAGAGGGAGAGAGAGTTTTCTAGAGAGAGAAATAAAAGAAAGCTTCGTGCATGTTCGGGTCTGCCCGAATCAGCAGTATATATAAATTGCTGGATTTCTACTGTTTTTTTTTTTTTTGTTTGCCTTATTTTTTTGTTTTGACTGAATGAGATTTGAAACGCAAGACTGCCGAGGACGATGGGAATGGTGGTGTGCGAGTCCATGGTGGGTGATGAGGACGACTGATTTTGATCGTTGATTATGATGAAAATTATAATCTGCCGTTGAACGTTTGACACGTGGCATTGGGCAATAAATTCTAATAATAAATACATGAATTTCTTTTTCTAAAATTAACCATATCTTAAAATAACAGTGGTACATTAATTAATATATGTATGGGCAGTGTAGAATTTATTGAGTATGAACGATTGGCATTAAGTTCCAAAAGGAAAGTATAAAACCATTATTCAGATGGTCTAATAAATAAAATTATTTTATTTTATTTAAAAGATAATTTATAATTTTACTAAATATATAAAGAGTTATAATTTTATTAAATATATATAATTTATTATTTTATAAATATATTATAGATTGACAGTAAACAACTCGTTAAACTTAATTCAGTGAATCAAATGTTTAAATACTTATGATATTTGTCGAATTATAATGACCATATTTAATCTTATTTCAATAAATCATAAAGTACTCATAATAATAGTTAATTTTTTTAATTAAAATAATTATAATTATTAAAATAATGCGATCTAATTTTTTTAGCTCAAAAAATATAATTATTAATATATTTATTATGATGTAATAATCAAATTTGATTTTGTCTTGGTGAATCATAACGTATTTTAAATAATAATTAGATTTTTTAAATTAAAATAATTATAATTATTAAAATAACACGATCTAATTTTTTTAGCTCAAAAAATATAATTGTTAACATATTTATTAGAACGTAATAATCAAATTTGATTTCGTTGCGGCGAATCATAACGTATTTTAAATAATAGTTAAATTTATTTAAATTAAGATAATTATAATTGTTAAAATAATGCAATCTGATTTTTTTAGCTTAAAAAATGTAATTATTAATATATTTATTCGGACGTAATAATCAAATTTGATTTCGTCTCAGCGAATTATAATGTATTTTAAATAATAGTTATATTTTTTAAATTAAGATAATTATAATAGTTAAAATAACACGATTGTTAAAATAACACGATCTAATTTTTTTAGCTCAAAAAATATAATTGTTAACATATTTGTTAGGACATAATAATCAAATATGATTTCGTCCCGGCGAATTATAACATATTTTAAATAATAGTTCAATTTTTTTAAATTAAAATAATTATAATTGTTAAAATAATAAAATTTAATTTATTTAGCTTCAAAAAATATAATTATTAATATATTTAGTAAGCTGTAATAATTAATTTTAATTTCGTATTGACGAATCATAATGTATTTTAAATAATAGTTAGATTTTTTAAATTAAGATAATTATAAATGTTAAAATAACACGATTTAATTTTATTAGTTTAAAAAATATAATTGTTAACTTATTTATTAAGATGTAATAATTAATTTTAATTTCGTTCAAACGAATCATAATATATTTTAAATAATAGTTAATTTTTTTTAAATTAAAATAATTATAAATGTTAAAACAATATAATTTAATTTTTTTAATTTAAAAAATATAATTATTAATATATTTATTAGACTGTAATAATTAAATTTAATTTTAATTATAACGCATATAAACTAATAATTATATTTATTTAATTGATAATGAGTTGCATAGCAGAAGAATAAGTGTCCAAATTATGGTGGACCAACGTTACGCACTTGGAGGCTTAAATTAAGCTTGTCTAAATTTATTACAAAATGTTTGTCTATACGCAATCCAATCATTTGTTAATTTGCTTTTCTTAATTAATAAATTAAATTTCTATTTATATAAGTTCATAAATAATGTCAATCCCGAGAATCCCACATTTTTTTAATTATAGTTTTAATAGTTAATTAAATAAGAATTATTTAAATTTTAATTTAATACAAAAATAGTTAAAGCCATTGCGTTTAATTAAAAGAAAATCTCATATCACAATTTAATTAACAAATTTGGAAATAAATAAAAAAAATTAAATTGTGACAGATTAAGAAATAGATAATTTTAAATTTTATGTTAAAATATTATTTCAAATCCAAATAATTTTTTTATAAAAAAATAATGTATTAAAAATATTCGAGATATAATAAAATTATATATGCGAGATGTTATAAGAACATATTCATAGCATAATTTATTAAGTATGAATTCAATATATTTCTTTTTTAATTTTTTTAAATTAATATTAATAAAAGTATAATTATATTTATATTAATAAACTATATATAACAATTTTATATATTTTATTTTACTTAGATATTGAAATATCAAATGGTGCAACTATAAACTTTATATCTACTCTAAAAGGAATTATGTATGAATCATCTCAAATAATAATTAAAAATACATTAGAAAAAAAATTCAAATTATAGGCAGGAATTGCTTTAAATGTGAAAAACATAATCTTATTTTACGCGTAAAGACAATTAATTATGATAATTTTAATATGATAAAAATTAAACTAAATAATTACATTCGTGATCATTATAAATGAATATTTTTAATTTTTTTTAGTCTAAAATGATATATTAGATATTTTATAATATTTATAGTTTTTATATTTTTAATATTTAAATTAAATTTTAAAAGTATCTTGATGAATTTAATAATATCTAGAATCGATTTTTTATTATAAAGTCGAAAGTCGAAACGATAATTTAAGAATATCAAACAAATATTTTATTGAACATTATCTTAAAATGAAATTAAGAAAAAAAATTATTTTAAAATAAATGTAATTTTTTGTTTACAAAGGAGAAAGTGAGTGCACGCGCTAAAGACTGTGAGTGAAAGTGGTGAAGTATTATCTGTTTAAAACCGTTTCTTCCCCTCCATTTTAACTCGACTGCTGGCCTACCTCGCTCTCTGCCAGCCACTGACCCATGCAAAATTAAGCCCCGAAGATCAATCATCTTTTCTCCCTCTAATTCCTAATCCCGATGACTTCTTCCTCTGTCCCCGCATCCAAACACTCCCCATCTCTACAGATTATCACTTCACTCCTTCGCTTGTTCGTTCTTGCTTCTCTTATCGAACAAGCACAGCTGTTGGTTGTGAGTATAGACCAGGAATTCAATTCCTCGAACTCTTGAAGGTATGGACACGGAGCTTTTGGTTCCAGTGGAGACACAAGCGTCGTTGAAGAAGAAAACGGCGGTTTCCACGAGCTGGATTTTGGTGAACCGCGATGGAGAGAGTACGGTGCTTGACGTGGATAAGTACGCTATCATGCGCCGAGTTCAGGTTCACGCAAGAGATTTTCGGATTCTTGATCCTTTGTTGTCTTATCCTTCGAAAATTCTTGGCCGAGAGAGAGTCATTGTTCTTAATTTAGAGGTGATCTTGTAAATAAGTGCTTGTGTTATGAGTTACGTATGTTAAATTTGACTTGTTTGAAGCTTCTAGATGACTGATTCTGTTTTTTTATTCTTCTTTGTTGGTTTGGTTTTCAGCACGTAAAAGCAATAATTACGTCAGAGGAAGTAAGTTTTTCACTCTGTTTATGTGATTGGATATGGATTTGTGAAGAAGAAAAAATTTATGAGCATTCTCTTATGAATTCGATCTTGTCATTACGTAGTAATGTGGAGGGTAAAATGGTTGTTTTCTTCCCTTTTTTGAGTGAATTTTGATGGGTTTCTGAGGGTGCTTCAGGTGTTCCTTAGAGATCCATTTGATATTAATGTGATCCCCATTGTTGAGGAACTTCAAAGAAGATTGCCTGATAATACCATTGGCCAAGGCCGAGTAGCAGAAGAAGAAGAAGATCAGGCTGGGGAAAGACAAGAGGTTGACACAGGTTAGCTAAATGGTAACCTTAGCGTTAGTAAACAATGCTCTCCCTGTCTTTTTTATTAAACTCTTCTTTCTTTTCCATTTAGTTGGTTTTAATATGCTGATGTAGAAGTACATTTTTTAGTTAGTATGGAGTGGACTTTTCCATTTTTTCTTTTTGTTTTGGGAAAAGGTTAGGTCTGAGAATTAATCCATTGTAGCTACACCAATTAAGAGAATTTATTTCACCGTGTTGAGTGGACTTATTAGTTAAAAACAGCTCTCGCTTGTAGCTGACCTATCTATTTGGTAAAATGTGCTGGTGGTTTGTGTGATGCAGAATTTCCATTCGAATTCCGGGCCCTTGAAGTTGCTTTAGAAGCTGTTTGTAGCTTTCTTGATGGGCGGACAAGAGAACTGGAGACTGACACTTATCCAGCTTTAGATGAGCTGACCTCCAAGGTAAAGGCTTTTTCCACATCTATTTTCCTTTTTGTTCATTCTGTCTAGTTGAGTTGATTATAACTTTTTGCATGCATAACTAAATTAAGTCTAATGTTGTATATTCTCTTTTTGGTTTTCACGGTTCTACAACTTTTTCTTAGATTTTGAACTAGATTTGTGTCCTATGACTGGTGCAAAATGACTTAGTAGACCCTGTAATCAGCAACAAGTGATGATGCTCACATACGACATGGAGTAGGGAAGAAAACACTATAAATTATTCTTAAATAAGTAAACCAAAGGACAGCTTTTCTCCGAAATGTTTGTAGTTTCACTGTTTGATCTGGCTTCTGTTTGCATTGTGTTCGTTGTTCTTCACTCATATGCATCTAGTGCATGAAGGAAGCCACATTGGACAGTTGTGATCTACCTTGGCATACCTCATCCTCAATAATTGTAGAATTTCAACTGTGGAATGAAACTCCTTAATGGTCCACTAATTTCTGACTAAAATAAAAGGACTATGTAAAGGAAGTTCTGATAAAGATACATGATGTCTGTTCCTCAAAAAAGATCATTTTTATCTGAAAGCACAAAACATGTGGCGGGTACTTCCACACTAAAACCATGTGCAACATGGAAAAGTGCAACATAATCATTCGCATGGCCTACTCCAGCAGATAAAGAGACTCTGTCAGGTTGGTTTTATACAGCAAATGACAACAAGGTCTAATTTCCCTGGCCTTTTTGCTTTTTTAGATTCAAGCTTGTCCAATTTGTGTTTTCTTTTAGCAAATTGTGTGTAAAATGCATATCTAGTTGGTTAACTAAGCAACCGAGTCTGAATTGTGCAGTGCATTTCTCTGCTCTTTCCTGCATTTGTGAAATGCACATATATTTGCAGATTAGCAGCCGTAATTTGGATCACGTGCGTAAATTGAAGAGTGCTATGACTAGGTTAACAAACCGAGTTCAAAAGGTATGATAACATCTGTACTTGGAATCTGTAGCACACGGATCAGTATCTCACTTCCAATGCCTAAATAGTAAATCCTTTCTTTAAGTGTCTTGTTTATTAAGTATTTTCACCCATATTCTAGAATGTTGTTTGCTCAGAAAGGTTAGCAACTTTGACTGAATGCCAGTTATTTATTTACTTGCCTAGAACTGCAATGTGTAGGATTTTTTCTGTTGAATTGGGAAAAATACTGATTTTAATTTCCAATTGAAAAAATGTACCTGGAATATAGAAAATGTCTTTGGACCGTACAAGTCTGTATTATGTTTTAAGGGAGTGGATCCTGGTTTCTTGGGGAGTTCTTTTCTTCCGCATATCTGCACTCCATTGATGGAGAAACAAAGATTCATGTACAGACATACTCAGTGAACAGTATCTTGTGTTTGCTTACACATTGCCTTCTGTTTGTAAAAGATATAGATGCTAACTGGAACAATGGATCTTCTAGCAACATAAGGAGTCTAAATGAAAGCGAACATTAATTGAAGAGAAAAATGAAACAGAAATAAGATAGACATGAACAAGACAAAAAATTAGTAAAAGTTCAGTCAGAGAAAAAAAATCAAACTGCTCAAGTAGAAACTAGCAAATTTCAGCAAGGGGATACTTGATACCGATACAATAGGGCTAGGATGATGGTAAGGATGAACATAATTTTGAATCTTTCAAGCGAAAGGACCCTTCAAACAAGTCCTTGAAAGAGAGAATGGAAACTAGAAAATGAGACAGGGACTAGAATTCCCAGTTGATCTTTGTTTATGGAAGGGTTGCCATTTCTGCTTAAAGTAATGGCCTGCTTGATTTTGATTTAGAAGTGGCATATTTCCATCACTAAAGACAGGTGCGTAAGTTATCTTGGATATCTCGCTAGCATATTCCTATCTTTAGTATTAATACTTCAACCCCTAGTGTTTGAATAAATCTTAACAATATTTTGTCTGCTCTGCATCTCACAGCAGATATTGCTTAAGTTTTTCATGTTAAAGCATGTGGAGACTAACTAACTTGGGGGTTTTTCACAATCTTGGACTTAAGCTGTAGAAGTATTGTGCTTTCCAGGTAAGGGACGAACTTGAACAACTTCTGGATGATGATGATGATATGGCAGACCTTTACTTGTCAAGAAAGTTAACTGGAGCATGCTCGCCTGTCAGTGGCTTTAGTGCTCCAAATTGGTATCCTATTTCCCCCACTGTAGGATCGAAGATATCTAGAACAAGTAAAGGAAGTGCAGTGACAATCCGAGAAGAGAATGACGTTGAGGAACTTGAAATGTTGCTCGAGGTTACAAATAATCTAAAATGTGATTTTCAGTTTCTACCTCTATAACCTAGTAAAATATCTGAGCAGAAATTTGGATTTTTTCAGCTTACTTTATGCAAATTGATAGCACATTGAACAAATTGACAACGGTATTTTCTGTATTATTTTTTATCTTTATTTCTATGCTTATCGATAAATTGATGAAAGTGTTTTATGTAAATCTTTTCCTAGCAGCTGCGGGATACATTGATGATACTGAAGATTATATAAATATCCAGGTAACTAGTTGGAGACTTGTTATTTTGACCAGATTACAAAGCATTATATGCTGAAGGAGGCTTTTGATTTTTTACTTTTCTATCTTGTAATGAAATAGGGAAGTTCCCTTAAACTATTGAAAGCCTCCACAGCTGTTTGAGACCACTAAGATTATCTGGAAATGGAAAGAATCTTACTAATGCAATCCAGCCTCTGTTTGCAGCTTGACAATCATCGAAATCAGCTGATTCAGGTGCTCTCTTGGAAACATCGTCTTTTCTTCGCATACACGTTAGCATGCACTTCGCTTACTCTTTTTCTTTTCTTCTTTTCATTTGCTTTTGAGCTAACTGTAGTATACTTGGAAAGTCGGAAAATGGAAGTCATGCTAAAAATGTCATCCCGATTTGTATTAATGAAATTTGGCTACATCATGCAGCTAGAGCTCTTTCTAAGTTCCGGGACTGTTTGCCTTTCCATATATTCACTGGTAGCTGCAATATTTGGCATGAACCTTCCATACACTTGGAGGGAGGGTCACAGCCATGTATTTAAATGGGTATGTAGGGTTCATGCCTCGGTACTAAAATAAAACTGCATCAATTTACAAATTTTAACCCGGGCACTTTGCCCGACTTGATCAGTCCTAATTACTGGAACATCTTTTGTTAATATTCATGTTTAAATATCATGAATTTAGGTGGTGATCGTATCGGGAATGGCCTGCGCCTCCCTTTTCATGTCGATAGTCTCTTATGCCCGGCAGAAAGGTCTTGTTGGGTCTTGATAGATGTAAAACCAATTTGCGAAGCAAACTCAAGATCAACCCTTGAAGCCACCTTGAAGCCATCGTTGGTGAGAGATACATATACGTGTATCAAATGGGTTCATTCTTACATATATATATATATATACACATTGTATCCAATGTGTATGCATTACACCCAGTATTAGTTATTGAATCATCAACATGAATGGATCATTCTCTTGCCTTGTAATCAGGCCTTAAATGCTACATAAACCTGAAAATTATAATTGAAAATATTTGTATTGAGTATTGACAGAGACTAACCCCAGTGTGTTTAAGTTGGGGAACTGTCAAAAAAAAAATAAGCCTGTGAAATGTAATTGTTACAGTGGAAATTTACATATATAAAGCTTCCTCTTGGTGTGATATATATATATATATATATATATATATTTTGAAGCATTTATATATTTTTGGCTATACATTGTAATAATTGAAAAAATAGTGGTACAGCTGGGTCCTCTCTTGAATTTGGTTTCATGAAGTAGACGCATGCGTCTAATCTTTTTCAATTTACAAGCATGCGATGTCTACATCTGGCTTTTTATGGATATATATATATATATATATATATTTTTAAATTTCTTCCCCATGCTTTTTTTTGACGGCAATTCCAATATTCTCCTCCAAATGATTGCTTCCCTTTTTTTTTTTTTTGTCACTTGTGTTTAATAAATTTATATATATATATAATATTGAAATATTTTACAGTACAACATAATATAATATAATATATATATATGCAAATATTATACTGAGTGAGAGTAAAAAATTTAAATTATTTAAAAAATTATATTTTTCTAAAAAAAAAAAATTATCTGAAATAAAGCTACATAATTAAGCAATGATAAAATCTAATTTGGTTTCCTTTA